CCCAACAACATTTGTGTGTATCAAGTGACGTCACAGATTCTGCTCAAATAAGTATTACAGCAGTGACCCACATCTATTTCGGCTGTCAAAAGTCGGCGGTGGAAATTCCACATTCCCATGGCAGGATTCACTAGCTCTCTCTATTCCATGGCCGCTGTTGTGTAGCCCACATCTCGTCAAATCCAGAAACTCAAGCAGGTTGGAGCAAGGTCAGTAATTTGGATGGGGAACTGTCAGTTAATTGGAGATCTGTGAAAAAAAGCTGTATAGCTCATCGGATTCCTCCGGTATAACTAAATATTCTGATTCTGAATTGCAGATGTTGTTGACGCAGGCTGGAAGGTGGGCAGCAGTCACTCAGCAATGCATCATAAAATCCATCTGTTTCCAAGCTTTGAGCGTTTTCTCCGGGTCCTCCGTTTCCTGCCCACACCAAGTCGAAACTCCTGAATGGAATTTGGCCAAACAACCCAATGTGGTAGCAGGACCCCTGGGGATTCAGTGACGATGTTCTAGGAGGTTTAAACGGCATTATTAATATTCTTATTCTGATTAAAAAAAAAACTATCTGCGTATATATGTATCGTGGGCTTCACAGGTACAGCCTCTTGCGTGAGTTGGATCGAACTACAAACGAATCTAGTTTCACAGTTCACTCTTTGAAGTGGCGAATAATATATAAATGTGTACGCATTTTTAATAAATCAACAGATCTCTGTTCTTTGCGATAATAGGCGTCCTCTTCCAAAAATAGACGGCATTATACAGCATCAGCGTGCACCTCGAGGGGGGGTGAGAGGGCGGCTAGGGAACGGTGGGGGGCTGCTAGATTTGGGTGGCTGGGAGTGCGGAAATGATAGAAACATCTGTACAATGAGATGGACGCACTCATGCACGCAGGCACTCGGTTGAGTTCACGCGACACTGAAATAAACCCAGCTCGGTGACTCGGCCACTCACCATCGCACTACGCTCACTCGCTCACCCGTTCACTCGCTCACCCGCTCACTCGCCCGTTCACGTACCCAATGGATCGCACACCCACGAACTCGCTAATCCACCCTATCGGACACTCACTGGCTGGGTCACCGACCACTCTCTCACACACTCACTCACCAACCACTCAACTGAACGCCAACTCGCCCATTCAATCGCCCCGTAAATTGCACTCCCGCTCAACCACTAACCCATTCCGTTACATGCCCACACACTCACCAAACCTACATACTCACCCACACATCAACACACCTACCTACTTACACACTCACTAAATCACCCACCCATCCAGGCATACACCCATCCACCCACCCTCTCACCCATCCACTCGCTCCGACCACCAAAACCATCACCACATTTGCATCTGATTGAACTTATCCTTTCCACCCTCCCTCCCTCCTCGACTGTGTAGGAGACATTCCTGTAACTACGGAGGGCACAGCAGAACGCGAGAGATGTTTTTGTTCGTGATGGCAAAATACTAAATAACATATCATATGTAACATTATTAATTGCACACGACGGTTGCATTGGTGGAAGATGTGTGTGCTGGTGCGTCAATGAGATGGCGCGTGTGTGTACGTATGGATGTGCAAGTACGACCGTCGACATGTGCGTGATTGCACTGGTGTGTGTTGGTGTTTGTTGGTGTTTGTTGGTGTGTGTTGGTGTGTGTGTGCTGGTGTGTGTGTGCTGGTGTGTGTTGGTGTGTGTTGGTGTATGTGTGTTGGTGTGTGTGTGTTGGTGTGTGTTGGTGTGTGTGTTGGTGTGTGTGTGTTGGTGTATGTGTGTTGGTGTGTGTGTTGGTGTGTGTTGGTGTGTGTTGGTGTGTGTGTGTTGGTGTGTGGTGGTGTGTGTGTATTGGTGTGTGTGTGTGTTGGTGTGTGCGTGTTGGGGAGCGGTTGTGCACCGGTGAGGGTGCTGCGCTACAAACCTGGCGATCCGAGTTCGATGCCTGCTCACGGTCAACATCAGTGACGATCATTTAAACCAGTCCTGGGCCTCCCCTAGGTCGACTCAGCCTCAAATGAGTACCTGGTGCGGTGCGTAAAAACATCGCCACTCGGGAGACAAAGGCGGCCGGGCGTGGCGCAGGTCACCCACCCCTTCGCGTGCCGTTCCGGCCTTCATAGGTGCTCACTAACAGCACTTGCTCCAAGTCTGTTAAGGCTATACGGGGGATCTTTCTTGGTGCACCTAGCATGGCACAAGCGCCGTGGTGACACGTGCTCTCACGTGTGTGGTTGGCACATTCGTGCTTTGTATGTGCTGGATGTTTTGGTGCGTGTGTGTGTTGGTGAGAGAGTGTGGCGTTTGTGTGCAGACTGCCATATACAACATCATAACAGTCTGGATCACTGGATGGGTTCTACAGGATTGGAAGAATGCTCTGGTGGTCCCCCTCTTTAAGAAGGGGGAACGCGCAGATTGTAAGAACTACAGGGGCATCTCACTCCTCAGTGTACCGGGAAAGGATTATTCAACATCGCCTTGTCAGGCACGCTGAGGAGTGGCTTGGAGAACCCCAATGTGGTTTCATACCAGGGCGGTCTTGGACAGACGATATATTTTGTCTGTCTGCTACAGCAGAGGTGTAGGGAATTCCAACAAGACCTATATCTCTGCTTTATTCACCTGGTCAAGGCCTATGCCATCATCAATAGACCTGGGCTCTGGGATGTTTATTGCGATTTCAGAGTCCTTGAGTGGGAGTCATTTCCTGTCCTCTGGCGCCTACATTATTTTACATCTTTATCGACCACATAGTTTGAGTATTCCATGGCTGTACTGGATGAATCCCCATCGAGTACAGACACAATGGGAGGCTGATTGATGGTCAACCATGTTACGTATGCTGATGATCTGGTGATTGCTGCTCACTCAGAGAAGGAGTTGGAGGTGCTTCTGCTTGACCTGGAGCGTGCTACTAAGAGGTGGGGCCTTACCATCAGCCCCTCCAAAACGAAGCACCTGCCTGGGTATTTTGTGTTATCAAATACTCCACCCCCTCAACTCCCCATTGGCGGGGCAGTTTTGAAGTGAGTGGAGAGGTTTCCATACCTGGGCATGTTTGACAGCAGAGGTCTCACTCTGAATCAGTTGAGCGGCATTATATTTTAAACGACTGCGTAACGCTGTGTGGACCCAACCTGGTCTGTCACTCCACCAGAAAATTCGGGTCTTCTTGGCCACATTCATGCGCTCCCTTCTACATACTTGCGAAACGTGGATCCACTTAATGGAACATCTGCGCCGTTCAGAAACATTCAGGCTGGCCTGCCTACGATCCATCCTGGGTTTAACTAGCCTGTATTGTGTGAGGAGCTCACACATCCTTGAAATATTTGGACAAAGTCCCATCGGTGGGCTCTTCATGCAGGAAAGGCTGCATTGGCTGGGTCATGTAACCCGCATGCCCAGCCACCTAATGCCGAAACAGCTTTTGTTCGGCCGGATAGAGGGGGTCAAACGGGTGCGGCACGGGCTAGAGAACAGATGGACTGTGGTACGACAGGATATGAAGCTGAGTGGAATTGCCAATGACTGGTACCAGCGGTGTCAAGATCGGCCTCTGTGGAGGAGGCTCGTGAAGGACGCTGCTACTGGGGAGTTGGAGGCAAGTTGGCACAGTAGGGAGGGCAGTCATCTCAGTCAACTCATGACACCTGCTGGGTCTGTCCCGTGACCTGTCCGACACTTCACGTGGCCTTAACCTGAAAGTGCACCGAGCCTGGCACAAGCGCCGTGGTGACGTCACCGCCACTTAGTGGCGAATGGCGCTTGCTGTTGTTGCTAGGTGGGTGGCATCTCCACGTGTTTTCGTCAATAGCAGGCAGGGTTTCTCACCGCCAACAGCAGCCTCCGACTCAACGTCTAACCCAACAATCCTTCCCCTATCAATAAACAGCATTTTTGTTTTATTATCCCCAACTATCGTGAATCCATCACGTCACTGAACAGCCTCCTCTCCACCAACACAGCCGTCCTTTCATTCAACAACAGCAGCAGCAGCACCATTTCCAGCAGCCAACAGCGTTCATTCTACCAACAGCCTTCCATTCAACTGACCTTTGCCCCCCCCCTCCTCTAACCAATAGCCCCTTTCATCTCCTCAACAACCTTGATCCTACCCACATCCTTCCTTACAATCAACAGCCTTCTTCCTTGGCTAAGAGCCACCCTCCTTGGCAACAACAACAACATCAACAGCAGCCTTCTTGCTAAATAACTACAGCCGGCCCTGCTGCCTCTCCCCCACTCTCTCTCTCCCCCTCGGCAACAGCCCCCCCATTCGCCCCGCCCCTGGGCGAGACGTCATCACGCACCACAGGGAAAAACCCTCCCGGTGTGACGTCAGCACGCATCACAGGGCCCTTCCCGGGAGCGACGTCATCACGCAGATCGCGCCACTCCCCGACAACCGCACCTCCGGCTAATACGTCATCACGCAATACAAATCGCCCCCCCCCCTTCTCTCCTTGCAAGTCCCCCCCCCCCACCGCACCTTCCACACCCCCGGACGTGACGTCAACCCGCAACGGTGGCGCGAGCGGCGGGCGGGGGGGGGGCCTCTCAAACTGGGCCACACCCCCGGATGTGATGTCAGATCTGCCCATTTGACGTCACGCCACTTCCTGGTGCCGCGCGCTGCTTCCGTTCGCAGCCGCTGAGCGGGGCGGCTCCGCGTTCGCTCGTCCGAGGCGATTATCGCGATAATTCGTGCCCCGTAATTGCGGCGGTTAAATTCCTCTCGCCGTTTCCCCGACGTCTCTTGTTGTTTCGTGTCGCCGGCCGCGCCAAGGTAAAAGCGGCGGTTGTGTTTTGGTTTCTTTTTGAGGGGGCCGCCGCCGTGTCCGCGTCTTGTGTTTTGTTGGCGACGTGAGGGGGGGGGGGGGGAGCCGTGCAATACCCGCGGGAGGCGGGTGGAGGTAGGAGCCTCGTGTACTGCTGGGAAGGAGGGAAGGCCGCGGTCCTCATCATCATCAGCAGCAGCACATCACCATCAGAATATCGTTGGCGAAACGTCAGCACTCCAGCATCAACGTCAGCACATGGTCATCGCAAGCATCTTCTTCCTATACACTTCGCTAACCCTCTCGCCAAGCGCTAAACATCAGCATCGACATCACCCAGCTCGCTTCATGCTCCCACCTCATCATCACCACATCATCTTCCCGTCGTCATACCGACCCATCCCCTCAGGTTAGTCGTCAACAGCATCGCCACCTCATGCTGTTACTCCATCGGTACGTCGCCTCATCAGCTCCTCGGTCGCATCATCAGCAACCAACATCGTCATGTTCACACTCCCTCCTTTGCTCACCTCTCACATCATCCGTGCCCATCCTCGGCCTTCCTCTTCCCCCTCTTGTTCTTGTCGTCCGCATCGCAGCCTCGTCGCTTCTTCCCCCCCCCCCCCACCCTGAGCGGTCGTTCTTGCCGTTAGACGGCGTCTCACGCCCACGCTAGAGCACTGGCATCCCCCATGGGCAACATCGCCGTCAATACCATCACCGTTATCTCAATGCCGACCATCGCCACGAACACTAATACCATTATCACCGCTTTCACCATCAACCCCATGACCACGGCAATTTCCAATCGTCAGCAATCACCACATCGCCATCGTGACAGTCATCGTCACCTTCACAATCACCGACCATCGCCACCATCACTGTCAACATTGTCGATAGTATAAAATCGTAACCATTATGATTACCATCAACGCTATCATTGTTACTGTACCATCGCCATTGTCGGCACCATCACCACCATTACCCAAAAGTAACTTTACAGTTATCACCACTACTGTGGTTAAATGAAACAATGGTAACAATAAATAACATAATTACCACCATTATTGGTATTATTATCATCATCATCATCAATGTCTTCAACAATATCACTACCACTGTTTATTACACGAACATACCCCATGTTAACCCTTAAACACTACCACTTCTACATCATCATTACAACTACCACCGTCTTCCACTACAGTACTGTACCATAGTCTTCATTATAAACGTCACCACCACCACCGCCTTCATTCCAGAGTAATCACCATCAACTAGTCCATCACAACCACCATCAACCAGCATCGTCGCCATCACCACCACCGCCACCTATAAACCACCACGGTATTTCCGCGAGAGATTCGCTGCCTGTGATGGCGATGAGATGAGGGGGAGAGATGCGGGCGGACGTGGGTTTACAAAGGGAATGGTTGTGGTGGTGGTGCTACTGTTGTTGGTGGTTTTCGTACTTGGGTTTTTTTTCTATAAGTGGTTGCTACTGGTGTGTTTGGTGGTGGTGGGTCTGACATGCGTTGTGTGTGTGTAGAGACGGGGAGTATGGTAATTGTGGCGGTGGTTGTGTTAATAAGGTTGAGTGAATGTGGAGCATGCTGGGAATGGTGGTTGCACAAATACGCGGTGGTGGTTGTGGTGTTATTGCGGTGGTTTCTCGTGTCGTGGCGGACGTGTTGAATGCATTTGTGAGTGCGATTAATTCAGGTAACGTGGCGATGGTGATTCACGCACCGTCAGTTGGAGTCGTGGGAATTCTTTGTTGGTGGTCGTGTTTTGTTTTAGTGTATCAAGGTTTTGTCGTTCTCGTATTATATCGTAATGGGTGGTTTGTGGCGGATATGCTATGCGTGTAGAAGTGGCTGCAACGGTGTTGTGTGCGTGGTGGGTCTTGATGTGTTTGTGTTGGGCGTAAGGCGATTGTAATGGTGGGTGGTTGTGTTATCGAGTTTATTGAGGTGGTGGTGGAGGAGGCTGTGTGGTGCGGTAGTTGTGTTTGTTAAGTGTGTGGTATTTGTAATTGTGGTGTTGTTTAGTGTGGTGATTGAGCCGTGTAATGTGCTTGTCGTAGTTCCGTAGTTGTGTGAGTTGTGGTGGTTGCGGTGTTCAACCGTGAATGGTTGTCTTGTTAGGGGAGTGGAGTGGTGGTTGTGTTTGTTGGGTGTCTCGAGGTGATGATTATTCCACTGCTGTTGTTGGGTGGTGGTGCAAGCTTTGTTTGGACCTAGCCTGGTGGCGGTGGGCATTGTGCGTGGTTGTTGACTGGAATTATTGGCGAGTGTGCGTTGGTGATTGTGTTGCTTGTTGTTGCCTTTAGGTTTTAGGTGTGGTCATACTGGGGCTGTAGTAGGCATAGCAGTTGTTGTGGATGTTGCAGTGGAGATTGTAGGAGGTGAAGTTGTGATTGTTGTGCGCTTGGCTGCGTTTGAGGTGGCGGGTGAGCGTGCTGCTTGTTGCTGTACTGGGTGCGGTTGTGATTCTTGAGTTAATGTTGAGGCTGTTTTGTAGACGTTGTCACAGTGGTTCTTGGTGTGTCTGAGCTCTGGCTGTTGTAGCAAGAGTACACTAGTTGCGCCGGTTATGGTAGTGATTGTGGGTGTTAGAATGTTGTTACAGCCGTTGTGCCGCGTGTGGTTGTTGCGTTATTGTGTGTTTGAGATTGTGGTTGTTGCAGTATTTGTTGTATGTATGTTGAACTTCATTCGCACCGTACGTAGACAACCGTGCTAATCGAAGGAACTTTGTGTTTTGTAGGTACACTGTATTGTCGTAGTCGTTGCGTTTGTGGTTTGTATTGAATGTTGAGACTGCTCTGGTGGTAGTAGTAGTGGTATAGTGGTCGGAGCCTGGTGAAATAATGTCGAGGCTAGTACATCTTCTTGGTTCTTTCGGTAAAGTCACGTAGAAGGGAAGTAATACAATAATAAAAATAAAACATAATAAAATTATTCTCACGACGTTTCGGCCACAACGCAAGCAGCCGTCCCCAGGTGTCCCCAGGTGAAAACCAGGTCCGTCGAGGCGACAGACTCTGTCGCCTCGACGGACCTGGTTTTCACCTGGGGATGGCTGCTTGCGTTGTGGCCGAAACGTCGTGAGAATAATTTTATTATGTTTTATTTTTATTATTTTATTACTTCCCTTCTACGTGACTTTACCGAAAGAACCAAGAAGATGAATCCCTGCAGTCACGAAAGCTTTAAATCGGAGGCTAGTGCAGTGGTAGTTGTTCTTGCTGTCATTTGATGTTGTGGCTATTCTAGTCGTGGCACTTGTACTCGGTATTTTTGTAGTTGATGCTGTTCATGGTGGTTGTGGCTTATGTTGTGTCGTGGTTACGTTTTGCGTTAACTTTGGTTTGGCTTTTGTGTTTTGGCAGGAGAGGCTCTGGCCGTGGTAGATTTAACAGTTGAGTGTTGTGGTTGTTTTAGTTGCGACTCTTAATGTATTTAGGTTTGGTTGTACCTGCTGGTGGTGTGGCAGTATGCCTTGTAGGCAGGTAACTGTGCCTCAACTCATCAATTAAAACGTATTCTTGCACACGCGACGCATGCATAGGATTTGTTCATGCAAGTATCGATTATTTACCAGTTTATGCAGATTATATACAAATGTAACGTTAAGGCTAATGGAGAGGAAAACAAAGTTCACAAATGACCTTAACCAGAAGTCATACAACCAAGATGGCAAACAGACAAACATAATATATACTTTAATCGAATCGCTGGACAGTGACTCGTTACATAACTGATCCTACCGCCTGTGGTTTTGTCTTAGGTAGTGCTAATGCTGTGGGTTGCAGTCGCCGTTTCTTATGGCCACCGGGTCGGCAAGCTTCCACCGCTGCTCATTGTTTCTGCCCAAAGAACTTTAACTTGTGACTGCCACATTCCCAAGGGGGCCGAGTTGAAAACTCTCGCCAATGGGTTGCCAGTCTGCCCCAGTAACCCCCGGCATGCCATCTAGAGATGCCATATGGCCGTTAATCACTGCAGAAGCTGCACTTTTAACGCAGCGCAATAATGACGGATTTCAGCGAATGAAATCCCGTGGTCTGCACGCTAGTTTTTGGAACAAATCGTTACAATAAGCGCCACACCAAATCCAGCATGACCATCTACCACATTTCACTTTGATAGGTTCGAGGTTGGGGGGCGGCAAGGGGCTGGCTTCACCCCCCCCCCCCCCAGTATAAATAAAGATTGCGATTCTCAACATCCGAGTTGACGTTTCCCCGAATGAAAGTTCACCTTGGGGAATTTTGTCAGGATCCGTGTAAAGAGAAGACCCTGCTTGCACCCGTGCAGCTGTCGTGAGCCCGCGCCATCGCGACTGCCAGATTTTCTCGCATCGATGCAGTCTGCGGAGGTCACCTTAGGGCATGCCCTACGTGCTCCGGGTTATATCTCGAGCCCGATGCTGTGCTGTTGCTGCTGCAGCGTACCTTGAGAGCTGATGTGTCATGGGCTCGGTGTTGGCGAGAAAGCCACGTTTTAACAACGTGACTTCATGAAAATCGTTGTATCAGCTGTCTATGTTGTCCTCGTTAGGTGGTGGGGGGGGGGGGGATTCTCACCTGGATTAGAATAAGGATGTGATTTATTGGAGCGTCGTTCCGGTGTACGGCACATCAAGTCCCGCCCCCCCCGCAGCGGTAAATGAATAAGTGCAATCATTAAAAATAATTGCCTTATCATTTTAATAAAGGGTGCTCCTTGCAAAAGAACCTTTGTACTGTAGAGCAAAGGTTCCGTTTGCAAGGTATCATACACTGTACCCCTGTGGAGTCCCGTCAGCAACCGAGAATAGATTACTGAACTCTACGTGCTTTGTTTGCACCTCATGTCTCACTTGCAAAATAATCTTTGTCTCAATGGGCTGTCACCTGGTTGCCAACGATCCCTGTGTTGTATTATGTAGATTTGTTTTGGAAAAAACAACTGCCATGTGAACGTCAGATAGCTGTGAACCACGGCCAAGAGGAAACCTTCACTGGGCCGTAGTCAAAGCCCATTATGTGTGTGACGATGCGTCAATTAAAATAGATTCTTACGCTCGCAACAATTGAGTCGAATCGTACTTTCTGACATTAATTACTTAGGCTTTATATAATTGGATAATGTGACTCCTGAAGCCAACAGAGGTTCTGTAATAAATTAATTCTCAAATCGAATCGCGAATGAAATTGTGACGGTCCGTTAAATTGTGACAGATGTTAATTAGTTCAAGGCCTGGACTCTTAGCCTGCCCGAACCTCCTTCCACCTTTGTCCACTCGGGCTCCTGATACGTATTGAACTCGGGGAAAACCCATCGGGAATCATTCCCCCAGCACAGCAGGGCCTGTTGTGCGGTCCATGATGCGCGCATTGATTTGCATTGAATGTAAGCGATAGTTTCGTTTGTGTGCCGACTGTATTTTTTACCTCATTGGCTCAAGTGGTATAGGACCTCGTCAGTAGTGTTTGGTTTTGGCCCTTTTCAATGGGCAGGCTGTTTATGCTTGAAATGTTCGCATTGCATCGCGGTGGGGTTTCAGTTGCATCGCAGGAAATGCAACCAAAACAGCTCTTAAACCGAATACCGTATCATAGTTTGAGACACGCATCAGTTCAGTGGTGTAGGTATCAACTTTTGTCTGTATTATTTACTCTCAGCTCTTATCTTGTAAATATGTACGTAAGCTTTGTGTCCCAGGCTGTCTGATGCATGTCTACATTTTGGGTGATGAATAAAGACTTTGCAGTGAATGTAAGGTGCCCTGCCACAGTGCTTTAGTGATGTCACTGCAGCCATCTGCTAGAATGTATGGCAATAGCACCGTAATGATGTCACGAGCTCACTGCAGCTGTGTGGCTGAAAGTCACTTGAAAGGCTTTTTGTCTCATTAACAAAACCTCACTTGTGTCCAACAGCCCGCGTTTGAGCGTAGGTACGTAGCTACAAGATAAGGGCTCCTTGGTTTTTAGTTGCATCTCTTCCTTTCTATTCAGCGATATTTCTGACTTTAATAACCACTCTTGAGACAATGACTGAATATTTGGGGAGACCTTCATCTAGCAGTGGATTGACAAAGCGTTGCTAATTGCATATTTTTTATTTTTGAACATTTGTTGCGATATTGCGCTGCCCGCGTCGCTCGCAAATATTCATCGCGGATGACTATGACACATGCAGTGTGATGCTGAGATTAGTGATGTTTGTTTTCTCGCTTATTTCTCTGCATGCAGAGTCCCGTCACGTCGTCACAGCCCAGCGCGCCGCACTCAAGGATGCCTCTCGAGTCTCTAGCGCTCAACGAGAGAGGCCAGCGATGACTCACGTGGCACGCCGGTGAGCGAGAGGGCTTCCGCTCACGCCACCTCCCCTTTCCCGCCGGCTCGAGGAGGAGGAGGAGGGACGAGCGAGGAGGAGGGACGAGGAGGGTCGTGACGAAAGGGGCAAGGGGGGCCTGACCCCCCCCCCCCGCCCCGGCACCGGCTACCCTCGCTCACAGAGGCCAAACGGCAGCGACGACGACGACGGAGGAAACGGTCAAACGGAGCTCCGTCGCGTTCTCCGAGGGGGAGTGCCGGGGGCGCCGCTCGGATGGATGTTAGCCGGCCGAGCGGCGAGGAGAAGAAGGTGGTGGAAGAGGGGAAGAGAATGTCGCGGACGAGCGTGAGCCGCGGCGGGCCGAGCTCACGGGGTAGCGGCGCGCCCAGCTCCGGCGTGCTCATGGTGGGGCCCAACTTCCGTGTGGGCAAGAAGATCGGATGCGGCAACTTTGGCGAGCTGCGGCTCGGTGAGTGTGGGTGGAGTTGCGCGACGGGAGGACGGGGAGGGCCGTTTTGTTTCATATGTTAATGGCTTCGTGTGATAGCGAGATGTTAACTACCTCGCCTGGTATACAGGAGGTTGTGGCTTTGGTCCCGACCCTGATGCCTGTAGGTTTGGAGTTTGCGTGTTCTCCCCGTGGTCATGTGGATTTTTCTCCGGGTTCTCGGTTTTTTCCCTCCACATTAAAAAAAAACATGTGTTGCGAGCATTTGATCACTATAAATTTAGACCTGATAAGCCACTTATTTGGGCTATCATTTGTGATAACCAGGTCGCTTCTGAAAAAGAGATTTATTAGCTCAGTGGGACTTATCTGGTAAAAAAGAAGTTAAGAAAACATTTTGGTGGTGAGCATTGGTGGATCTTACACAGATTAGTGAGAGGTGGCCAGGAGACTAAAATATGTCTAGTGAGTTTATGAACCCCTCGATTAACCTGAACTCCACCCTCATGGATGTGGGTTTTCTTAAGGTGCTCCAATATTTATCCCATGCACGGGATTGAAGTGTCACCATGGCCACAGCCGTTGATGTCACACAATACTTATTGTAACTGAATTGGTTATACTTCCCATTGCAGAAAGCCCCGTAAAAAAACCTTGAGATGCAAAGAGGATCTTATAGATAAATAATATATTGTTATCATTGACTACAATGATATTTTTTTACACAGGTAATCATCATGGAGGCTTCAGACTTTTTTTACATGCATTGGTCAAACACCAATGCATGTTTGATTATAAACTCCACTGATGAATGAGGTCAACACGCTTCTTATGCACAGAAATATTCACGGGCTTATAGTTGTAGATTGCACTTTAACAGTGACTTCCTGAGAACACTGGCAAATGTGAAGAAAGCCGAATTGTAAGCCATTATCAAAATGCACCCTCCACAATTCCCCAAATTGTCGGCACATTTCTCCATTTCAGTCGGTGCGTGAACTACATTTAGAAATGTGGTGTAAATTAATATTTAAAAAAACATCAGATATAGAAATATTTTGCTAGATTTTTCAGACACAATGAGTGGGCAGTGCACTTGGTTTGTTTTTCTTTTTCCCTGCCGCGCACGTACACGCACGGACAAACGCGTGCCGTTCTGAAGCTTCACACGGCTCAGCTGTATTTGACGCCGGGAGGAGATAAACGTGGGGCTGGTGGATAAGTAACTATCGTACGCATTACCATTAGCTCCCTGTAATTCCACAGAGCTTTCCTGGGTGCCAGCGAGATTTTGTTGCTGCTTTGGCCTGAAAATTTTTGTTAAGTTGCCTTTGAAGTCACAACCCCTGCTGGTCTCGTCTATTTGCTCTTTAATTCGTTATACAGTGGGACAGATGTTGGCCTGATACTGAATTGATTTGATGTGGCTCAAAAGGCAGTAGTACGAGTATAGTTGAGTGAGTGCAGCCACACATGGGTCACGTGGCAGGGTGGAGATCCACACATGTAAAGCTCTTTTGTCAATCCACTCCTGGACAAGGGCCTCCGCACGCCGTGCAGATCGTCGAGGTCGTCACGAGCATAGTCCACCACGCTGCTCGGTCGCGGGTTGGTGAGGGCAAGGAACAGGCGTACGAGTCGAGAAGTTCAGCACAACAATGCCCTCTTACCCAACATCTAGCCCCACGGCATGTGTTTGGTGGTTGCCCATCCAAGCACCGTCTAGACTAAAAACCTCCTTAGTTTATTATAATTGCCATAATAAGGTACATTCCGAGCAACGTGGTCATCGGCACAGACCTGTACAGGGCACTCTTAATCAGTCCCTGTGCATATGTTATATTTGTGTTTTCTAGTGTACCAATGTTTTATCACAGGCTGGGTTACCAGTTTCGGTGACTTTTGCCCACCGGTTGTTCAATTTTAGCACCAGTCAGGCATGGTGACTCACGCCTGTGATCTGGCACGTTGGAGACGATGGTTAGTGGTTCAAACTCTGATAACCGCTAGTTTGCAAGATGGCTAATAGATAGCAGTACACTAAGTTGGTATGTGCGTCCTTTTAGTGTTAGTTGTGTTTTTTTCCTTGGGGCATTTTGGTTTCCTCCATCGGACAAAGAGCCTCGGGGTTTTCCTAGAAAAATAAATTCCATAATATTAAATTCTCATAATTATTTTAATTACACCCTGAATCCAAGAAAACTCCACCAAGTCGCAAGGCTATCCCTTGGAGGGGTGCCTTGTGAAAAATGTTTAGTCAGTTCCTTATTTAGTGTGGATGTGTGGGAGAAAACTGGAGTTAGTGCCTGGAGAAATCGAGAGGCCTTAAAATCAGACGGTGGACAGAGAGAAGGATTCACAGTGACCCATTTTGATTTAACTGTGACACGAGATGCCATGGAAGCGCTTGTCTTGCGAGATAACTTAAGGTCTCCCTCCCCTGCGAGAGACACTTTCCACCTCGGCAGGCTCCAGGCTGGTTATAAATAAAGGATTTAATTGATTACGGTAATTAGAATCCGTCCCCGTCGCGGGCAGTGCCTTGAGCTTAACGTGGCCTCGAGCAGACAGGACTGAGATGGAGTTCCCCTTTGATGGGAGCTCAAACCCTCCAAGGCTCTGTCTGCCGCCGCCAGTCTTCCTCAATACTAACAATACGGTAGACTGTAATACAATTTGGTTTTATATAGCGTCTAAATGCGACCGAATCTCAAGGCACTGTGTGGAAATAGTGAGCATATTTATTTCGTAGAGAAAGGCAGTCAGTCATCGGTCTCTTTGTGTGAATCTTTGGAAGAGGGAGCGAGGCAGTCAGTCATAGGCAGAGGGAGAAGAGGAGGATATTGAGGGGAGGTATTTCCAGAATGGGGGCAGCAGAGGAGAATGAGCGACCTCCAGGTGAGCGAAGGTTGGCTGGAGGCTTCAGAAGGAATGTTCATGGTGTCCTCAAAATACCTTTTGCGAATGAGCAAAAATGTTAAAGTTATTATTGCTGTGGTAAGAGGATTCTACGTGTCTCAAAAGTCACAAGTTCACGTTTGGGTCAATTGTTGAATCGGCATCATCATCCTTCTGGGTTCAATAAAACAATTACCGCTTTGTAGAGGTTGTTGGCAGCGGTCGTCCCATGGAGAGGCCAACCTCCGTCATCGACAGATCCCACCACCATCCCAAGGCCTGCCCACAGAGATGAGCACCACCCTTTCCCTTGTTCGAGACACTTTGAGAGGTTTCATTATTGAACGAGGCAAGAAATTGTACCACAACACATTTTACGCGTGGGCGTTTCCACAAGCAGGAAAAGTATTTTGTGCCAGCGTTCGTTCTATTGATGGGGACTGTGGATTCCAACCTGTCTGTTGGTTGTCGCTTCTCAATGGGCCACGTGTTATTCAGCTCTTCTCTACTCACGTAGTCAAAAAGGGAATTCGCCCGTGTCTTGGAGCAGCCCAGCATGTTCTACTGCCCAATCTCGACCGTTGTTTCCCTTAGCCAGTGATCTTGACTGTTCTTTTCTGACTGGAATGTCGCGTGTGTTTTTTTGTCCGTTTCCTGCAGGAAAAAATCTGTATACAAATGAATACGTGGCAATTAAGTTGGTAAGTGTGTTTTTATCATCATTTTCAGTAAAATTGTTGTTTATGCACGTCATAATGTCATGGTAATAAATTCTGGCATACAGTGTGAGTAAAGCATTTGCGGAGAGGTGCACATTCTGACGGATTATGCTATAGATGATTCTCAGTCATTTATTAGTAATTGCAGCAACATTTGGATGTATCATCTTCAGCCATGCTTTATCCTGTGCTGGATGAAGACCTTCTCAATTTGTTGCCATGCTTCATCGGATCGTCAACCTATGGGTCTCTCCGGACCATTCTCCCTGCAGCATTTTTTTAAGCTGCTAACACTTGGCTGCAGTCTGCTGATGCCTCGGAAAGTTAAGATGAGTCGAGAGGTTGGCTGTTTAAACAAACGATGCATGTTGTCGAGGTGTGATGTCACAGAGGCTGCATCTGAACAATGCTCAAAACTTCGCACTTGCGTCTCTCCCTTGTAGCTAGGCATTCAGGCCGAGAGTGCGCCTCAACTCAGCCATAGCGTCCGTAACGCGAGTGGCCATTTCATCGTTGTGATTCATTTCCATGCGTTTCTATCAACAGGAACCCATGAAGTCCAGAGCGCCTCAGCTGCACTTGGAGTATAGATTTTACAAGCAACTCGGCAATGCAGGTATCACTTTATTGATTCCCCCCCTACACCTGTTCTGCTGTTTTCAGGAGAAAAAAAGAATCCGTTAAGTAAATAACGCACGTCGAACGCATCAACGTGTGCGCCTGTCTGAAGAGTATTTGAGTGGAGTGAGAATTCTGCGCCGCCATCGGTGAAGGTGTCTTTGTTTTATTTTGCTGTAGCGTACGGCGTTTATCTCCCCGTGAAATCCGCCAGCGCCCCGTTGAGGAAGCCGGTTGTTATTTTAACGTCTTCGTACTGCCGCCACGGTAGGACATCTCGATCTGCAGCGGTTGCGTAAAAAGTAAGCAACGGGGAGTTATCGACAATTGATTTAAAAAAATATAATTCCTGCTCGTTCAATGAAGCGTTGTTCTTGGTCTGATTTAAGCTTCCTCGAAATGTGCGTGCGGGCGCATACGCGTTGTTAAAAAGTTTGTCTGAAAAGCAGCAAGCGAAATAATATATATCGGAGCGAGCAAAGACGAAGAGTAACGTCTTGGGCGTGGTGTGAACAACTGCGAATAGGGGGTGAGCAGTGCACGTGGACGGTGGAAGCGAGTCCCAGTCAAAAGGGAAGTATATGAGAAGAGCACGACCTCCCATTGCCATTGAAGTGAGCGGTGTTGGGATAAGCCTCTGTGTACGGGTGCTTGAATCGTCGTCCTGATGGGGTGTCCACTGCGCCAACGCGTAGAGTTAATGATTTGAGCTTTTATCGTTTTACTCTGCGCATTGTGGGGCATCTTCAGCCCCCTCACCGTGTGTGCATTTCCCATTTTACAGGCACGCAAATGTGCCGAGGCAGGGGGGGGTGGTGGAGCGACATACGCGAGTTTGAGACTTTGCACTTCCTGTTTGAGCACTGTACGACGTGAACTGGCCTGGACTGCAGCTCACAGGGTGTTTTGAATCCCCTTGTTTTTTCACCGACTGGGCATTAGTTTTGTCGTGGCCATGCCATGTACACCTACCCAGCTCTCTGTAGCGTTGTTCGTTTTATACATATTCGGGAGGGGGTGTCATTGCTAATTACGATACAGTCTGGAATTATAGAGCATTTACATGCAACTGCATTTCAAGAGTCTGTACAGAGCGGTGAGAATATTTTATTTTGTAGAGAAGAGATGCTCCGCCATCGGCAAAGGTAAATAAGGTCTTGAGGCTGGAGTTGAATAGGGCAGGGAGTCAACAGCGCACACATGTCAGGGGGGGGGAAAGACCGTTCCAGACTAAGGGCAGCATAGGATGTTAAAGGCCTTGTTGGTGGAACAGAGACTGCATGGAGGGGAATAGTTAGGTGCGCTCACGATTCAGGGTCACTTGAAAGCAAGCTTTGATTATATTTTTACAATGTGGTGACTGCAGCAGCTACTTGTGCATACAAATCTAAAAACAGCCATTCTTACAGTGGCAATTCATTGCCTTTATCGCGAGTTTATTTATTGCGATTAACCGATGCATCAAAGCTTCGTTTCACGTACGCGTCTGCAATATGACCATTGGTAGTGTCCTCCTGCAAATGCTGTACCTTGCACTTCTCCAAGGGGTCTGCCTTTAAATAGACAATTTCCGTCTGCACGGTTCCCCTCGTTATAAATCAAGACTGCGAGCGAGTACGTCAATGGTTGATAAAAAAACAATGCAAGTCCCCCTGGGTTTTTTTTGGTTCGTGAATATTCACACGCAACTTAAAACATCTTTGATAACAGAAGTCACAGGTAGCCACTGGCTGACCGCTCAGCGGAGAGCGCTGGGGAGTGCGGCTGAGCACCCGAGTGTCTTCCAACGCTAACATCGACATCTGTGGCTTCCATTGAGTGTTTAGCTACAAACCAATAAGTTATGAACACTGAATGCTAATATTTGGATGCGGATATTCACAGCACATTGCGATTTGGTAGTGACTGTGGAGAATTAGGATAGCGTGTGTTGAGATTTGGATAATGCATTTTATTCCACGTTAAGACAGGTAAGGATAGAAACAGTTGCCCACAAGAACTTCAACAAATGATAAACTCGGTTCGTAGTAGCAGTAACGAAAACTCGACTTGTGATATCGGAACTCGTTGGTTGGTTCAAACAATTCCTCATTGGGGGGCAGTCATTGCAACTGGAGTGGTTTTGGTGAATGTGTACGGCTGATTTCCTTCAGGTCGCACATTTTACTGGAACAGCTCCGCGGACCTCACTCCGCCGTTCGCACACTCCCACGCCCCACGTTCCTAAAATTAAATGAGCAGCGGTCATGCAGTGTTGACCCGGGTGACGTTCATGCTCGTGGTTTTTGCGTGGAGCAAGTGTTTTTTTGGTTTAATTTCGTGAGAGCTCTGTATTTTTGACATCCAAGCTTTACCTCCGACACGGAGGGGATTTTTTTTTTATCGTTCGGGGAAATGTAAGGGTAGGAAACGTTACACCAGGTTCCCTTTTTTGGCCTTAAATTAATTGTCAAATCAGTTTTCTTAGAGTTCTTTTCGTAATGGAAAGACTGAAAATGCATGTTTTCTGGGCTACAGGAGTATGTCATTGTTCTGCTTTAGTCTCTTTAAATTCCCTTGGAAAGTGTAGATGTTTTTGTTGACGCCTACAAGTACGTCTGTTCGTATAACAAATTATTCTGACCGAACTTCTCGCAAGCCCATTATTGCCAGCCGGTAGGTGCACGCATGGTGTTGTCCTCCCCCCTCCCGCACGGTGTTGGCTACGTATGGTAGGGAAGGAAGTTCTACATACATACATACATAGGTAGTGGCGTGATTTGCATCCGAGTGGATGACAAGAAAGATATTCACGGAGAGTTCTGCGCCACTGGGAGTCGTCCGGACTGGAATTTGGGAATCACTTATCCAGGCTTCACGTCCCCTTTCTAAAATGTCTCCCAACTTCGTTTCTTTCAAAGTAATTAAGCTTAATGTTGAAGATAAACTGTATTTTTTGCTCGCACATTGAGCTCCCTTAATCTTGGTGTAGTAATTCACCCACTGACCCCCCCCCCCCCACACACAATTTGGGTAATTGTCACAATTTCATTCACACGTTGATTGTGATGTTGCATTGGCAGTGGGCACATAGGAAGAAATAACAATATACTTAATACATTCATCAATTACACTGCTTTAAATAGACAGATACACACACATTATTGGCCTATATTTCTGTACATATTTGTATATTTTTAGGGCGATTATTAACTCGTATATTCGTATATTACGCTTTTGGCTTTTTTGTGCACGTGCATTTAGACTTTATTTGGCATGAATTAAGTTATTGTATCGTATATTAAGTTGAATATACCATATAAATCGCTTGATTCTTAGTCATAGGCGCTTGTATTTTGAGCATACCAATCTTTGTTTTTTTAAATCTATGAATCTTTACTACTCTTAATTGTCATCACCGGGACGCTCTTCTAAATGAGGCTATACCAGCCTCTTGGGTTCTCACCTCGTTAAGTCAAATAAATTTGGATTACTTATGATCGTGTCAAATCCCTGATGTAGGGGTTTTTCTGAGCCCCTGATCTGGCAACTTTATCTCCCGTGCCAGCCGACGTGTGCGAGATGCCAGACGGTCCTCTTCTCGCCGCTGCCGTTGCCCCAGAGTTCTTGAATGAGGGGTTTTGCTACCTCCTCGCGGTTGAGGTCATGGAATTTTAGCGTCCAGAAGTTCACGTTGAAGGGAGGCGGGAGGGCTGGTGGGGGGTGCTTTTTGGTGTTGAACTTCAGTTTTAGATGTTTTTAAATTAATGTTTACCAACTCAGCCGGTGGTGAATGCTGCAACAATGCCTTGTTTGTCGGTGAATTTGATTATAAGGAAGCATTGTTTATGATTTCTAAAGAATTTTATTAAATTAGAAGTGTCTTTTCCACAACATTTAGATATTTTGTATAACTTTGTCGGTTATTTTTTCCTCTGATTTTCTAGACACTTACATTCTCCAAATTTGGTTGCATTGCGAGCTGCAGGTCATAATTTCAATAATTATGTAGTTTGTTTGTCTGAAGAATTCTCAGGAAGCCTTTTGAAAATAGCCGTGGGTGAACATGATGGTCCAGTTGCTTTTTATTGAGTGGTGTTCACGTGGGAGGAAGCCGGATCACCTGGGAAAGATCCCACGTGCATAGGGGGGTTAAACACCCAGAGGGTTCGTACAGACAGGTTCACGAAGCCCACTCGCTGCGCTGCCATCCCGTGGCCACCTCCCAATCCAGCAAAGGTTTTCAGAGCCTCACAAACGTATGCGATCCACGACAAACACCCCCTCCCCCCCCCTTGTCTCGCCAGGCAATTTCTAGACTGCAAGGCGTGCACCGGCGGCGATGCTCAGTAATTTTTGTTTTATCTGTTGCCTGGGCTTTGGGAATGGATGTTCTCGCAAAAGAGCGAGTGCCTGAGTCGTGTCCGCGTGATGACGTCGGCTTAACGAGCGCCTGCCCGGCGACGTCCGGCGTCTGAATGTCGACTCTAGCGCCACGCGGTCCGGGCGAATGATGGAGCAATTTGTGCTCGAGACCCTGCTGAATGCGAGGCTTCGTGCCGCTGTTAAATAATGCATGGAGGCTCTGCTGGAAATACATATAGTGATGTATTTGTTCCCAGAAGAGAGAGTGACGTGTTCCTTATAAAGACCACCCATGGTGACAACGGCGAACGGAGATCCACAGCTCGCTCTATTGGAATAGATGCCGTTACAATCTCGCGTAGGTTTTGTAGCTCGTGCGTGCGTGCGTACGTACGTTCAGAGCCGCTTGATAAAAAAAAGTTTCAAGAGTTATTTTTTGTTGTTGTTGCAAAACGTCAAACGGTCAGCGGCAAATCCTAAATTTATCCCTATAGTCTTCATTTTGAAACTCCCCCCTTTTTGTAATTGAAGGTGTCATGGTGCAGTTCCCGCGCAGCGCTTGTCTCTGGGGAGATGCCATTGAGGACGAGAAGGAGGAGTTGTTAGTGCCGCAACTGCCCTCATCCTGGGAAGGGGAAGGAGGGGGGACGGAAG